GTTTAGAATCAGCTTTGTTTGACTGTTGTATTTTGAAAAAAGATACTTTTGTTTTAATTCATGGAAGCTTTCTGGTTTTACTGTTTCAGTAAAAACTGGATTTTGGATCTTCTTAAATAAAATTTACTGGTCTCTACCAGTTTTTAAAACCTTATTTTGCAAATGTGGCATGGAAGATGAAAATGTATTCAGTTTCTTAAATTAACATGGTAAATAAAATTCAGAGGGAATGTGCAAGTGTTATTGAGACAATGTGTACTTTGCTCATTAAAATGGTGACTGTTAAATAGCTTGTGTTTTTGTTTGTAATGTTTACCTTGTGAAGCGTAATGTCAGAAGGTATCGACCACGTATGGCGTACAGCAAGAATTAGATCTATTTTGATTTATATTGTACCCATATTTGCTAGGCCACAGAACATCTGAACTTTTATTAGAAAACATTTGGATATAACCTTCAAAACATAACTTGCGTGGCAATTTTAGGTGTTTATCTATTCTGGAATAGAAGTATTTCTTATGGTCTAACAAATAAGGTATTTTTGTTATACATAAATTCTGCATAAAAATGCCAATGTGCATTATCAAGCAGTTGGATTTGATAAGAATCGCAGACAAATTATGGTCTTAAGTCACAGAAACAGATCAGTTCCTGTTTCTAATCTATCAGTGGTATTCTGGGTATTGTGCTTTTTGTTATAATTTTTCACAATCCCCAATTATTTCTTTTTAAATCTGACAGTTTCCTGCTTTTTGTTTATAATACATAGTCATAGAGTAATACAGCATGGAAACAACAGGCCCTTCAGCCCAAACTGGTCCATGCTGCCCACTCAGCTAGTTCCAATTACCCACGTTTGGTCCATATCCCTCTAAACCCTTCCCATCTATGTACCCATCCAAGTGTTTTTTAAATGTTGCTATTGTACCTGCCTCAACCACTTTCTGTGGCAGCCCTTTCCATATACGCACCACTCTCTGCGTGAAGAAGTTGCCCCTCGGGTCCTTCTTAAATCTTTCCCCTCTCACCTTAAACCTATGCCCCCTAGTTTTCAATTTCTCATTCCTGGGAAAAAGACTATATACATTCATCCTATTTATGCCCCTCATGACTTTATACACCTCAATAAGGTCACCCCTCATTCTCCTGCGTTCCAAGGAATAAATTCCTATCCTGGCCAACCTCTCCCTATAACTCGGGCCTACTAGTCCTGGCAACGTCCTTGTTTGCACATTTTCCAGTTTAACTATGTCTTTCCTATAATAGGGCGACCAAAACTGTACACAATACTCCAGTGTCTTAGACAACTGTAACATAACGTCCCAACTCCTATATTCAGTACCTCGACCGATGAAGGCCAGCGTGCTAAATACGTTCCTCATCACCCTGTCCACCTGTGAACTATGTACTTTTACTCCTAGGTCCCTCTGTTCCACAACGCTCCTGAGGACCTTACCATTTCCTGTGTAAGTCCTACCTTGGTTTGACTTTCCAAAGTGCAACACCTCACACTTATCTGTATTGAATTGCATTTGCTAATCTTCAGCCCACTTCCCCATCTGATCAAGATCCCTCTAATTTTTGATAACCTTCTTCGCCATCAATGATACCTCCCTAATTTTGTATGATCCACAACCATACTAATCATGCCTTGTACATTCACATCCAGATCACTTATGTCAATAACAAATAACAAAGGTTCCAGCACCGACCCCTGTGGCACACGACCAGTCACAGGCCTTCGTCCAAAAAATAACCTTCAACCATCATTCTCCGCTTCCTACCGTTGAGCCTATTTTGAATCCAATTAGTGAGCTGTCCCTGCTTCCCATGCAATCTAACCTTCATGGCTAGCCTGACATGCAGTACTTTGTCGAAGGCCTTATTAAAATCTATATAGACAACATCCACTGCTCTACCCTCATCTATCCTCTTGGTCACCTCTTCGAAAAACTCTAAAAGATTTGTCAGACATCACTTCCCACACCCAAATTCATTTTGACTCCCCCTAATCAGACCTTGAGTATCCAAATGTTGGTTGATCCTGTCCCTCAGTATCCTCTCCAATAACTTGCCTACCACTGATATCAGGCTCACTGGCCTGTAGTTCCCTGGCTTGTCTTTGCTACCTTTCTTAAACAGTGGAATAACATGAGCCACCCTCCAGTCTTCTGGAACTTCACCAGTGGCTAAAGATGAAGCAAAAATCTCCACAAGGGCCTCTGCAACTTCTTCCCTAGCCTCCCACAACGCCCAAGGATGGACTTGATCAGGCCCAGGGGATTTAAGGCTGCAAACACCTCCGCTCTGGTAATATGTATGCAGTAGAAAACAGCCCCACTTGTTTCCCTTATTCCCTTAGCATCCATGATTCCCTCCTCAGTAGCCATGCTGATTTTTAAGGGAATGTATTCTCTCCCTAGCCATGCTTTTACGCTTAATATAGCTCCAGAAACTCTTGGGATTATCTTTAACCTTATCTGTCAGATCTATTTCTCTCTGTCTCTCTCTCGCTCTCATTTTGCTCTTCTGATTTCCCCCTTGAATGTGCTCCTACACTTTTTATAGTCATCTCGGGACTCATTCGAGCGTGATGGCTTGAACCCAATGTATGCTTCCTTGTTTATCATGACCACAGCCTCAATATCCCTCGTTAACCAGGGATCCCTAAACCTGACAACTTTTCCCTTCACCCTAACAGGGACATATAGTCCCTGGACTCTTAACATCACACTTTTAAAAGATTCCCATTTGCCAGTCTTTCCTTTTCCTTCAAACAGACTCACCCAATCGACCTCTGCTAGATCCTGCCTAATGGCCCCAAAATTGCCCTGCTCCAATTTAGCGCCTTAACCTGTGGACCTATCCAACCCTTTTTCCATAACTATGATAAAACTATGAGAGTTGTGGTCACTGGACCCAAAGTGCTCTCCCACTGACACTTCAGTCACTGGCCTGACCTCGTTTCCTAAGAGGAGGTCCAGAGTTGCGCTCTCCGGAGTTGGGCCCTCCATGTATTGATCTAGGAAAGTTTCTTGGACACATTTGACAAATTTCACCCTGTCTGAGCCTTTTCCACTCTGGGTGGCCCAGTCAATACAAGGGAAAATTAAAATCTCCAACCCAATACTACTCTATAATTCTTACAGATACCTGTAATCTCTATACACATCTGCTCCTCTAGTACCTGCTGGCTATTTGGGGGTCTATAATACAGTTCCAACAGAGTGACCATCCCCTTCGTGTTTTTGAGTTCTAACAATATGGCCTCATTTGATGACCTCTTAGAGAGAATATTCCTAAGCACTTGCTTTGTCCTCCCTTGTCAAAAGGGCAAATCCCCCTCCTCACTTGATTGTACATCTGTCACATCTGTAGTTTCTGTATCCTGGAACAATGAGCTGTCAGCCGTGTTTCGGTTACAGCTGTCATCGCTCTGTCTAACCGCACCTTTTCTCTCTGAGCCTCAGAACCGGTCATGGTGCCACTGCTAGCCCCTGAAATGTCATTCTCTCCCCCAACCCCCCCCAAACAGTATCCAAAGCGGCATACCTGTTACTGAGGGGAATGGTCACAGGGGATCTCTGCACTATCTGCCTTTTCTCTCTCTTCTTCACCACCCCCCACCAACCCCACTTACCTCTCCTGCTGCTCATCCAGCTACCTGCAGCCTGCATTTTAGGAGCGACCACTGCACTATAAATCTTATCAATGATGTTCTCTGCACCCCAGATGATCCTGAGTGCATCCAGCTCCAACTTCAGTTCCCTAACATGGTCCGTCAGGAGCTGCAGCTGGGTGCTCTTCTCACAGGTGTAGCCACGAAGGACACTGGAAGTCTCCCTGATCTCCCATATCCTGCAAGAGGAGCATGCCACTGCCTTCAGTCTATTCAGAAAGAAAGCAGCGTTAAAGAGCCGTTGCCTGCTCTTATCTGTACCTATGCTCAATCTCCTCACACTGAAACCTCTCAGGCAAAGGCCTCAGTACTTCCACTCTAACACTGGCCCACTCTCTTAATGGCTGCTCCCTTGTACACCTTTACCTTACCAGTTGTACTCCTTAGCATCTTTTTCTTTTGGTCAGAGGACAAGGGAGGGTGGGAGACACAAATGTAGTGTTTTGGGTTTAACCACACCTTGACACCAGGTTCTCTCTGACCTGCTGTATAGTCATGTGGCTGGCTATGTCTCCTGGAATACCGTTGTGATGACTCTCAGCCGCCCTCGGATTCGCCCTTCTGATTGTAAGTTGGATCACCAATCAGCATTTCTTTGTAAACAATGGGCATGTAAAAGTACAGCATATTTATAATGTCAAAATTATTATTTACATAGAAAAGACAAAGTACAGATAGCTGTATTCAGAGTCTTTTATAATCCTACAGCACGGAAACAGACCCTTCGGTCCAACTCATCCATGCTGACCAGACATCCTAACTTGATCTCGTCTTGTTTGTCAGCATTTGGCTCGTATACCCATCAGATGCTTTTTAAATGGTGTACAAATTAGGAATTGCACTGATGCTTTTTAAATTTTGATGAAAGCATTACGAATGGGGGACTGATTCCCGGAACTGTATTTATATTTGGTCATTCTTGCATAGAACTGGATCCTGTTTTTGAGTTAGTGAATTCACCCTTTTTATATTTGATCCTGCTCAATGTGATGACATTCTCTAATCTCCACTGTTTGGTTCCTGCATACCTTTCATCAAATCAGAAATATAAGTTGAATGCTTTCTAACGAGTGTCACTAAAGCCTGAAACTTTGGTTTGGTTTTCTTTCCCACCTGCCTCCTTCCTTCACTGATCCACAGACTAATTGATCCTGTAATTCCTGCTCTGATAGCTAACTCCATGCAGAAGTTAAACCTGGTGTTTCATAGCATGTAATAGTGACACAGTCAGTATCATCTGTTATGAACAGAGCTATTTCAGGTGGTCTTAACCTTTTTGTTTAATCCATTTCATAAGTGTATGGTGTCCCTTGTTTTGCAGGGCCACGCTGAGAATGAAGATCCAAGTTGCAGTATAATGTAACAGTGAAAACCTCCATTGGTCACATCTGAATCCTTCAGATTATTTCTGATTAGTCTTTTTTTGTATACTGTAACACAGTGTGTCTGTTTCAGAGGAATGTTTGATTTTTTTTTTTAAGTGATTGCTTAATGGGAGCACCTCCATTGAGTGAAGTAATCTCAGTATCGAAACGTTTCTGTTAACCAAGTACTGTACAGATAATAAAACATTGTCTCGGTACGTGGTAAGAACATTTGGTAAGTGCAGTTGTATTAATTGTTATTTACCATCTGCAAAATGTTATCTAAAAATCTGCTTAAACAATTATGTTTTCAGTTTGAGAAATCTACTAAGTATTCATTTATTCTAGAGGATAACAGCAGTCCTTTTTGGATACTGCCGATTTGAAAATAAACATTTTGCTTCGCGTGTAATGTAATCTAACATCAAATCAATTATAGTCAGAGTTGGAATGGAGCCAACTCTCACTTTTTAACTTTAACTCTAACTGCTATCTGTTTAATATAAACCATTAATGTTTCCATTTTCAATATAAGGGAAATGGATTCTTCAAAATAACCGTCCCTTCAGAGAGATGCTGTCTGTGATGAGGACCTATTAAACTGTCTCATTGTATGTTTTCATCAAATTGCTGCTGAGTTGTAATGATCGAGAAGTTTTTTTTTACTTGTGTGGTTCATTCAGACAGTTGTTTAAACGAAAATGATGCATAAATATCATGAAATGTTCATTGCTGCAAATTGTGATGACTCTGACATAAAATTGAAGTGATCTTTTTAAAAGTGCTTCATTTTAGGAGTGATTTGGGTCTGTTTTATTTGATCAGTGTCTTTCTCAAACCTTCACCCTCAACCCACCCCCTTCCCACACACAATTTCAAATCTATCAACATTTTGTTTAAATGTTGCGTTACTTTGTTCCTTAATTCCTGACAAAATTGTTAAATCTCTGAACATTCTCCTGAAATTAAATACGTAATTTCACCCAGCTGTTAAATTTGTTTGCTTGTCCACTTGTTTGTTACTACCTACAAAACCCTCAATTTTACTGTTTCTTTAACTCCATTCTTTATCTTGTCTATCGCCCTCCCCCTCATTCTCCAGGAGGGAAAAAAAGCCTTGATTGCACAAATCCAGTTGTAGTTTTGTTTAAACAGATTTGTGATTCAAATATCTTATTTCTACATTCTTTATCTATGAGCATTAGATAAATGAGGATTTTATAGAGTATTCAAATTATTTATGAACCAATATTAACTTGGAAGGTTAAAATTCACTTCTATAAATAAATACCTTTTTGTGGTTATACTGTGGTGTTTCATTTTACTTATTTTCCATAGTACAAACAACCATTAAGAGAATCCGTTGCTATATCATGAATATCTTGCCAATCTCTGTTATTACATCAAAGTGCACTGAGGTGATAAAGTTCAGTCTTCAGTGGCAAGAGTGTAGGTCAATAGGTTGGTGGGTTATCACTGTCCCAATTGGAAATTGGTTTAGCTCAGTTGATTGGATGGCTGATTTGCAATGCAGAGAGTGATGCCAACAGTGTGGATTCAATTTCCATGAAGGACTGTTCTCCTCAATCCCTTCCCTTGCTTGTGGTGTGGTGACCCTTGGATTATATTACCACCATATAATGAGAGAGCACCCTTATTGTCTGCTAAGACTATGGTGACTTTAATGTCCCTATTCTACATGTAGTCTGAGGATGCAGGCTTTTTCCTTCATGCATGGTCTCGGCAAAACCGATTTTAACACCCATCTGATCCTTAAAATGGTGTACCAAGCTCAGACTAATCAAGAAATTCAAACCCCACCATTAGCTTAAGTACAGGGTTACAGTTAAATTCTGGGTTTCATAGTAGATTTGTATCTTGTCAAGCTTCCATTGTTCTGTTTTGGAGCTGTAGTTAAATGATAACCAAACATTAGTGCAAATACATACGATCCATAGATTGCAACATGAGATAAAGCTCCCATAGGGCACATATGACTGCAATTCTAGAAAACAAAAACGTCTGTACATGTAGCTGAATACTGTGCTATCCTTGATATTTTAAGAAAAATCTACAACTAATTCTTTCTTTCTATGTAGAAAGTGGGGTCAGGTGGTGCTGTTTATCCAATTGTAGCATCAGTTGCAACACTGTAGGAGCAGGTTCTTTTTCAGGAGGCTCATTTTCTGTCTAACTAGATGTGTTAAGTTTAAGGTTGATTTACAGTTTTCTCAATTTACCTTAAATATTTGTGCAATTTTTATATTTATCCTTTTTGCAGTTTTAACATTTGAACATTTATTGTCAAGGTGATATCTGGACCCAAGGAGGCTTAGCTCTCAATTACCAACTCCTGACCATTGCATTTAGACAGCTGACAAGTGCAGGTTTGAGACTTACTCATGAATACTAGGAGTCTTCCAAAGCAAAGTCTCTGCATCAAATGTGGGAATGGATTGGCAATGTCCTGCTCACTTTGTATAGAGAAACACTGTCACAATAAACTCTAGTGAAACTTTAAATGTCTACTGTCTCAATTTCTTCTAAGCTTGTTTGATCATCGGCCATAAAAAAGCTATCTACCTCCAGTGTTTAAAAGTACATAGAGGGGGGATGGCTGCTATCTCTGGCTTTAGTTGCCTTACCATTTCCCCCCTCATGGAAATGTACCTTACACCTTGGAGTGCAGGTTCATTGTTGCTTGAAACTGGAGTTGCAAGTAGACGGGATAGTTGAAGGTGTTTGTTATACTTGCTTTATTGGTCAGTGAATTGAGTATAGGAGATGGGAGATCATGTGTGACTGTACAGGACATTGGTTAGGCCACTTTTGGGATACTGCATTCAATTTTTGGCCTTTCCCTGCGATAGGAAGGATGTTGTGAAACTTAAGAGTGCAGAAAAGATTTACAAGGATGTTACCAGGCATGGAGTGTTTTGAGCTATAGGGAGAGGCTGAATAGGCTGGGGTTATTTTCCCTGGAGCCTGAGACGGTGAAGGGTGCCCTTATAGGGATTTATAAAACCATGACCTGAATGGATTGGGTGAACAGTTGAGGTCTTTTTCACAGGGTACAGGAGTCCAAAACTAGAGGGCATAGGTTTGAGGTGATAGGAGAAAGATTCAAACAGGACCCAAGAGGCAATGTTTTCATGCAGAGGTGGTGGAATGAGCTGCCAGAAGTGGTAGAGGCTGGCACAATCACAACATTTAAAAGGCATCTGGACGGGTATATGAATAGGAAGGGTTTAGAGAGATATGGGTCAAATACTGGCAAATGGGACTAGATTTATTTAGGATATGTAATTGACATGGGTAATTTGGACCAAAGGGTCTGTGTCTGTGCTGTACAATTCCATGCTGCTATGACTGCAGTTGAACTATTGTCCTCTGTTAAGGCAGTTAATATTGCCTGCCAGCCTTTGATTCATCGAGCTGGGACAGGTTCACATCTCACTTAATTTAAGTATCTTACAAAAAATTGCTCCTCATTCTTTTCCATGGCTATTTTGACATTTATTTTCAAGTTATCATTCACATATACAAAAAACAATCCACTTTCACACTATTTTTAGTCTTAAACCACTTTGAATGTCAATATTTATTTTAATGGCAATAAAATGCAAATTATTTACATGCCTATTGGGTGTTCCTTTGTCACCATGCGTGATTGCAAAGCTACTGTGGCTAAAGTGGTCATGTTCCTGACAAGGTTCACCATCCAGAACCTGGCTAAAGAAGCTGCAAAATTGAGCAATATGAATCACTTCAGCATTTTAAAAATTAATTAATCACTTACAGAGCAATAGCCAGTGGAACCCAAAATAATTCTTGTTTTGCCATCAACATGAATTTGAAACCAGGATTAAAATGAAAGATTAATGTGGTTAACAAATCCTTGGATAATTCATAAATGTCATTTTGAAATTTCTATTTCCCTGGGCTTGTGGTTCATTCAGACAAGCAAAGTTTTCATTTCGAAGGAGAGAAAAAATACACACTTCCTCTTGGACCTATAAGCAATTTTTTTTGTTCATTACTGTTCCAGCGTGTGACATGTAATAAATTGTTTAAATGCTTTGAAGATAGTTATGGATGGACGGTAAGGGTCTAAATGGAGCATTGTGCTTGCTGACTGTCCATTCTCACCAATGTGATGCCTAAGCCAGGGAAGGTACCAGTTGCAGCAAAATCTTTTGAGAAGACACCATGCCACAGGATTTAGCAGCTCCATATCTGAATGAAGATCAGCTTGTTGGGTCAGCTACTTCCTGGTCATTTTTGTTTTCTCAAGGAGAAAAGTACATTTCCCCCAGCCCCCACTCCCAAAAAAAAACAGCATAAGCTGTTTGATCAATTAACATGAGAACTCTCAGAAGTTATAAAGAATTACATATCTATTTTTGGTGAGTGTAAAACAGGGATTCACACGAAAGGGAAAAAGAACAATGGGTTTTCCACCAATTCAAAACATTCATCTTTGCCTTTCCTACCATTAGAAAGGTAATAGTAAACAGTCCCCAGTACAAATACCACAAGCTGATTGGGAACTAGCCTTGTTCATTGAAAAGTCACAGTAAACTGCTTACATTTCTTGCCCATCTTCGCATTACTAAATAATACATCCTTCTTAGTTTCTACAACAACTCAGAAGATTGGTCCCTCCTGCCAGCATAGTACATCTCCGCATTCAAGGCAATTCTTTTCAAAAGTTAGACAATAGTCTCTTTAGAAACAATTATGCTTGAATTTTGAGCTGGAAGATTGGGTTTGTTACCAAATAACACTTGTGATTTTGGAATGAGCAGTTTCACATTCTGGTTGGTCCGTCTCCATTCTTTGAGCAGTCGAATGTGATATCGAAAAGAAGCCTGCAGCCAAAAATAAGCAAGGTACATTAAGTTTGAAATCAGCTTCGGACTTTGAGTGGAGTTAGATTTTTGTAAACATGAGCTGTGTCCTATTGACTTCTACTTGGCAAATTCAGTGTTTGCCCATTTCTCAAAAATCTTCTGATAGTGGCATCGAAACATTACGTTCTAGATTCAATGTACTGTTTGCATAAAAGTACCTCTCTACAAATTTCATATGGTACGTGTGTTTACAAAGGATACTCACTGTAGTCCAAAGTAGGTAGATTGTAATTAGAACAGCTGAAAGGATAAGAAGTCCAACTGCTTCTACACTACTACTGAAGTAAAAATGGTCAACAGTTCCTTGAACACACAGCCAGCCTGACAAACTGGCCAATGGAGTAATGAAAAGAAAACAGATAATGTCTCCACACAGCATTCTCCGCTTTTGTTGCAGGGCAGGATCCTTCAGCCACTGGGGAAAAAAATAAACGTGCATATAGGTTAAAAAGTAGGCTATATTTGCTGACACCAAGGAGTATACTCAATTGCTGTGATCTTTCTCAAAAATAGTAACAAATATTTCCAAAAATCAATTAAAGCAAAACGGTAAGGCCTCTTCTGGAATATTACGTCCAGTTTTGATATCTTGTTATAGGAAGGAAGTTATTAAGCTGGACATGCTTCAAAAGATGGTTCAACTGGGATGTTGCCAGGAATAGAAGGTTTCAGTTGAAAGGGGAAGCTGGATAGGCTGGGACTTTTTTCACTGGAGCATAGGAGGTTGAGAGGTGACCTTATAGAGGTTTATAAAATAATGAGGAGTATAGATAAGGTGGGTGGCAGGAGTCCTTTCTCCAGGTTGAGGGATTTCAAGTCTAGGGGGCATATTTTTAAGGTGAGAGGAGATTTAAAAAAGGCATGGGGTCAGTTTTTTTTGTTTTATACAGAGTGGCTCATGTGTGGAATAAACTTCCCGAGGAAATGGTAGGTGCGGGTACAGTTATAACATTTAAAAAGACATTTAGATGGGTACATGAATAATAAATGTTTGGAGGAATATGGGCTAAGTGCAGGCAGGTGGGACTAGTTTAGTTTGGGATTATGGTTCGCATGGACTAGTTAGACTGAAGGGTCTGTTTCCATATTGTATGACTCTAGTACATCGGGTCACAGAAATAAACTGTTAAGCAAAGCACATCTTAATTATGAAAAGATACTTAATTTGTGTGCACAAACATAATGGAAAGAGCTGTACTTTGTTCAGGCCACCAGTGTATGTATGACACTGTGTGAAAAGTTCTGTGCAATTTTCTGATCAGTAATAAGTTCTCAACTGCCAGCATGTTACCTAACTGTTATGCAAAACAAAATGCCCTCCTAAGCCACTACTCACATTATTGCAAACAGTGGATTATTTCCTGAGATTAAAATAATTTTAATATGCAAAACATGCAATGTGCTGCTGCTACAGATTGGCTATCTGCCCTTTTTGTGTGGAGTTTGCACATTCTCCCTGTGTCTGCGTGGGTTTCCTCCGGGTGCTCCGGTTTCCTCCCACAGTCCAAAGATGTGCAGGCTAGGTGGATTGGCCATGCTAAAGTGCCCGTAGTGTTCAGGGATGTGTAGATTAGGTGGGTTATAGAGGGATGGGTCTGGGTGGGATGCTCTGAGGGTCGGTGTGGACTTGTTGGGCCGAAGGGCCTGTTTCCACACTGTAGGGATTCGATGATGATGATGATGATGAAGAAAGCACAACTGATGTAAGTGGCCACAGAGGCAAGAGTGAAGAGCCCTAGCTTTATTAGCGGAAATAGCCTTCAGTCGTTGTAGTTGGGCTACCTCTTATGCATGAAACAATTATCTATTAGTTCAAAATTAGACGAACACTGGCATTTGCAGGATGGGATACAGACTTTGCATTTGTAAATATATGAAGCCTGAAACGTAGCAGATATATACGTGACAGGCTGGAAACGTTGGCAAAGTGATTATTATTTATAGAAGTTAGTATTGACTTCAACAGTTTCATTTGCAACAGAGACAACTGTTTTCTGCTTGTCTACGGAAAGCAGATTTATGAGCATAAACACTGATAGCTGACTCATAAGATCTGGGCTTTCAGAATTTGATTTAAAATAAAGAGCCTCGAGTCAAATGTCTCACATCTATTTTTACAGAGATTCAAAAATTGAATGATTACATCAATTGAAAAGATGTAATTATGAATTCATTCTCCAATAAAAAGATTACATTTTCAAAATCGCTTTTTCAAGGTCAATCATTTGTAGAACGAGATAAACCAATTATATTGTTTGAAAACTCCTGCCCTTTGTAACTATTTTTAAAATCAGGAACATGAAACAGATAACCTGTGATGGATCACGGAAGACAGTGTCTTGGAGCTGCTAAACCAGAGATCAGTTTAAAAAGGCAAATCTCACCCATTCCCTATGGAGAAGTGGCCATCTTAGATTCAAATACAAGCCATTTGCTGAGAGAATTTCAATAGGAGCACCAATATTGGAACAATACCAGACTATCTTTATCACTCATTGAAGATCATTCACTGACGCTTATCATCTTAAGTTACATATTTGAATTGAGGCCTGTGAGGAGTGAATGGATACAGCCTGAACACAAAACTATTCATTAACAAAATGTAAAAATCACAGAAACCTGCACTACAGAAGGAAACCATGTACCACATTTGGCCTGTTCCGACTCTTTGAAATCACAGCCATGCTTAATCTCACACCCTATTTTCAGTCATAAACCTGCAAGATTCTCAAGGTCCTGCCCAAATGTCTTTTACATGACAAGATAGCGACAGGGTAAGTCACTCTCTTCAGAGCTCCACTCTGCTCACCAGTTCCCTTTCCTTTTCCTTTCTTTTTCTCCTTTTCTCTCTCCTCTCTGCAGAAATTCTATCCCCCACCCTCCCCAAACCCCTGCATTTTAACTACCTCCCTAAGGAGTTGGGTCCCGACCTGGAACCAGGTGGCAGGAGCTGAACACACAGGCCATGTCCTGCAGTGACGGTGGATTGACCATGGGCCAGTGAGGGGACGGCGGTGAGTGAGAGTGGGGCCGGTGAGGGGGCAGCAGTGGGCGGTGAGAGTGAGGCCGGTGAGGGGGCAGCAGCGGGCGGTGAGAGTGAGGCCGGGGAGGGGGCAGCAGGGGACGGTGAGAGCGGGGCTGGTGTGGGGGCAGCAGTGGGCGGGGAGAGGGGGGCCAGTGAGGGGGCAGCGGGCGGTGAGAGCGGGGCCGGTAAGGGGACGGTGAGAGTGTGGCCGGTGAAGGGGCAGCAGTGGGCGGTGAGAGCGGGGCCGGTGAGGGGGCGGTGAGAGCATGGCTGGTGAATGGGCAGCAGTGGGCGGTGAGAGCGTGGCCGGTGAAGGGGCAGCATGGGCAGTGAGAGGGGGCCTTCCACATGGCAGTAGCGACGGCAGCCTCCTCCTGGGTGTCCTGGTGATTGGAGCGGTGCCTGCACCTTTGTGGAGATGGGACTCGGGACTCTGAAATCTGGACTTTCCTTTTTCTCTTGCTTACCTTTTGGCTCTGTTAAAATCTTTTAATTCTGGTTTTTGTAACCAAGTGGGCGCCAGCGAATGGCGACTTTGTGTACTTTTCACTGTACTTATGTATTCCTATACATAGCACATGTGACAAATAAATAAATAAATCTGAAACTAAATATTTAAAGACATTTATACAAGACCCCGCCATCTTTTTACATATTCCTTGAAGGAATCACACACTGCTTGGTTAGCCCAAGCCTTTCCAAATATAAGATTACACTGTCCCTAATGATTTCCATAATTCCCCACCACCGATAGGGACTGGCTGGCCAGTATTTTCCTGGCTTAGCCTGCTCCCTTTTTTCTGTTTACTAGTCAAACATTAGCACCCCTCCAGGCCCAGGCTGTATCCGATCAGGATTGAATTGCCTCGGCTTTCAGCAGGCTAGGATGTGTTCCATCTGGACCCAATGATTTACCAACTTTCAGCAATGCTAATCTTTTTTAGTAAGTATTATCCTGTCCACAACTTCTCTCTGCTCTTTCATGAAGATGAAGACAGATGCAAAGGACTTTAGCCATGCCTACTGCCTGTGCATAATGATTTTGCCCGGGGTCTTCAATGGGCCTAAGCTAACCGTTTACATTTCATAGGTTTAGACACTGTTTCAGGTTTCAATTTAGGTTTACCTGCTGATGCCTCCTCTCAACTTCACTTTGCATCTGGTATTCAAATTTTCCATTCCCTCCTATACTTTCCATATGTACGTAATTATGTTTCCCATGTTGAGGGCTCCTATGCAGTAGTGATAGTGATCCCACTTCTGGATCAGGAGATCCAGATTCAAGTCCTACCTGAATCAGAGGTGTGTAGTGACATCTCTGAACAAACTGACCAAAAGTACCAATTTCCATTGTTCAATGTGTTCCTTTCATTTTGTCATTCTGAAGACAACAGTGTTAAATTTAAACTTTAAAAATCCACTGACACATATCATGTTTATATCACAATGGAATAACAAAAGTCAATTCTTTTAGAAAATGAATTTACTGAAAACTTTTTATTTTAAATATCATATTGTTTCCCTGGTTAGTTTTCCTAGCTGCTATCTATTAAACTTTTTGCTTCTGTTAAGTCTCCTTGAATGCATAGTAAGTCATAAGTATCCTGAAGATCACCATTCCCCTGTAACTGTTTAAAAGAGTTGAAGACAACAGTCATTGTAGGCAATGTCCAGGCTTTCCAATCCCTTTAAAACGTTTTACTTTTTTCTCATTCATTCATGGGACTTGGGTGTTGCTGGCTGGGTCAGCATTTATTGCCCATCCCTAATTGCCCAGAGGGTAGTTAAGAGTCAACCACATTGCTGTGGTTCTGGAGTGACATGTAGGCCAGACCAGGTAAGGATGGCAGTTTCCTTCCCTAAAGGACATTAGTGAGCCAGTTGGATTTTTTCCTGACAATTGACAATGGTTTCATGGTTACCAATAGACTCCTAATTCCAGACTTTCACCATCTGCTATGGCAGGATTCAAACTGGTGTTCCCAGAATATTACCTGGATCTCTAGATTAATAGTTTGGTGATAATACCACTGGGCCATCACCTCCCCGAGTACCCTTACGTACTCCACAGCAAAAGAATTCTGCTTAAATTCCATTTAACAATTAGTAAACCTCAGACAACTTTAACAAACACATTTAAGGTTCGGGTAGCCACAAGCCACCCAGTTATGTAGCCTAAAATGTTAATGAGCTGGCTGAGCCAGCAATCTTACATTTCACAGCCTTCCTTCTATTTTTCATTAAGAAAACAATGCAACAGTGCAATATTTACCTCTGTCAGTGGTCTCGGCATTCTCTCCAAAGCAAATTCAAAGTGACATACTTCACAGTGATTGGAACAGGAAGCTGCAAGCCATTGCTCGAGACAACTGCGATGAACTGTCCCCAGAGTCCCAGCACACTCGCATGGCGAGAGAAGGCTCTCTTTATCACTGGGTTCGTGGCAAATTCTGCAGATTGGAATATCACTGTGTAAAGTGGAAGGGGAAAAAACAACTGTGATATTTTATTCAAAACAATTCGACTGTAAAATTGAAGTCAAGAGTACTGAATAACAACACAGGAGGAGAAAAGAAACAAACTATTGTAAATGATACACATTGGTCAACATTTCTGATCTACTTCAGAATGGAAGACACATATGAACGGTACATTAATTTCAAAGTATTGCTAGTCACTGGTCTTTTCATTAGGGAAGACAAATATCTTCCTCTAACCACTCAACTATCTTCAAGACTGAAGTCATTCTTGGGCAAAGCAGAAGTTGATGAATGTGCAGCCAGTTTTATACCACTCCCACTTACATGGCAATTGGTCATTATGTAAAACTGGCTGTCTATTTGGTGGTGCCTGTTCTATGCTTACTGTCCAAGGCCAATTTCCACCCCACCCATTCAAAGCGTACATTTATAATGTGATAAGTTTTCATTTATTTCAAATTGTTCCAAAACAGTAACTTTAAATCTCTTTATAAATCATCGGTTAGGCTTCAAGTGCACCCAATTCTAGACAGCATACTTCAGGAAGAATGTTAAGGCTATCGAGCGGAGGTTTGCTGGATCAGTATCAGGGATAAGGAACCTCAATGCTTTAGCGAAGATCTGTTGCTCAGGTTGTGGCTGGAGTTGTTGGTTGGTTTGCTGAGCTGACTGGTTTTGGTGCAAATATTTCATCCCCCTTCTAGGTGACATCTTCAGTGCTGTGTAGGCTCCACTGAAGCGCTGTTCTGCTCATGAAATGTTTGCAAGATAACTAGTCAGCTCGGCAAATAAGGGGCCACAGTTACAAAGGGACAGAAAAACCTGGATCATTCTCATTTCAGCAGAGAAGGCCAGGGGAAGATTTAATAAGAGCTTCAAAGTTATAGGAGTTTGTTCTCGCAGGGAGGATGAAACTGTTTCCATTGCGGAAATGAAGAGCATTTTTCAAAAAAAAAAATCAGTAAGATGTAATCTGGAGTGGACTTTCTGTAAGGGAAACAGAAGTAGATTCAATATAACTTTCAAAATGGCACTGGACATGTACTCAAAAGGGAGAGAAAAAATTCTGCAAAAAAATGAAGTAGGATAGTGAGACCAACTGATTGTGTCCCTGCTTTAGGAGGGATGTTCTGAAATGTGAAAGGGTTCAGAAACGATTTACAAGGATATTGCCAGGGTTGGAGGGTTTGAGCTATGGCGGGCGAGGCGGGGGGGTGCTTAAGCTGAATAGGCTGGGGCTATTTTCTCTGGCATATCAGAGGCTGAGAGGTGACCTTATAGAGGTTTATAAAATCATGAGGGGCATGGAAAGGGTGAACAGCCAAAGTCTTTTCCCCAGGGTAGGGGAGTCCAAAACTAGAGGGCATAGGTTTAAGGTGAGAGGGAAAAGATTTAAAAAGGGATCTAAGGGGCAACTTTTTCACACAGAGGGTGCTGTGTGTATGGAATAAGTTGCTAGATGAAGTGGTGGAGGCTGGTACAGTTACAACATTTAAAAGGCATCTGGATGGGTATATGAATAAGAAGGGTTTAGAGGGATATGGGCCAAATACTGACAAATAGACTAGATTTATTCAGAATATCTAGTTGGCATGGGCGAGTCGAACCAAAGGGTCTGTTTCCATGCTGTATGACTCTATTAGATTTTTCAAAACTCTGATACATACACAATACACAATGCCGAATAGCCTCCTCCTCTGTTCGGGAATTCACTGACTCCAAATGGCTTTGCAAAATACCTGGGGAGTAGGGATTATCCAGTTTCATGGGATCTTTAAACTAAACACCTAGCGTAGCAGGCTCAATGGCTTTTTGCATTGACTGCTCATGCTGGATCTAACGTCATTATTTGTGAACGTAGTTGGGTAAGCACAAAAAATGGAATTCAGGTCACGGTCGAAGGGCTATTAAGAAGAAGCAACAAACACAGGTCTTGTCAGTGATGCCCACCTCCCATGAATACATTTTAAGAAAGTGAGCGGTTGCAAATGAATGTTGATAGATCATCGGAACATGGGCTTACTTCGCTGAAACTTCTCCTTTTCTCAGCCAACATTACACGGTTTTGCTTGACAGCAATCAGGAACAGATCCACATTTTATTTCTTCAAAACTGTTGCCCCTGAGAGGATCAGTTAATGTAGCACAGAACAGTTACACCGAGGTTATGAATGTTATTTTGGGTTCGGTGTCACCAAGCAATCTCCATGACAGGCCTCACACCACTTCTGCTGCCAAGTGAACCTTGTTTTAATCAAATAGAAGTAAATCCAAGGAACTGAAATGGGGACGTCAATTCCCTACACTAGCTACTGGAATGTGACCATCCAACACTCGCTTCCCTTCACAATGTTTACTGAAAATACTTTCCTGGCAGAGTGAATGGCTCTGATCCACAAGTGGTTTCTACTCATTTAAAACAGGTGAATAAATAGTAGAAGCCAGTGTTATTCACTCCAGTATTGCAGAAAAGTGTCACTAACTTATTTTTCAAGTATAGGAGCCCCAAGATTAACTTGGGACACAAAGCATGCATGTGGGCAGCTAGTTCCCCTCTCTCCCCCCGAGGTTCATGTGATTGAAACAATCAGACCTTGCTTTAATGTAATAGATTGACCGCCCTCTTGATTATTTTATTTTCTTGGCATCTTGTCGAGACGGCATTAGCCAGTCATGGTGTAACCCCAGAGGCAGACTTTTTACAAGGTTATATGTCCTGCCCTACATTTCTCTTCAGAGAAGTTTTAAGGACACAAAATAAGTCAAAAGACTCCTGAACATCCCTTCCTACAGACAATTCAGAAACCTCCCCTCAAAGTTTTACAGGAGGGTACACAAGGGGAAAACTTTTCCCCAACCCTTACAGGGCATCTCTGAGACAAGAATGAAGCACACTTGGACAGAGGTGACTGAACATTGTCAACATCACTCTCTTAGAGTTATGGAGTTGTACAGCATGGAAACGGATCCTTTGGTCCAACTTGTCCATGCTGAGATATCCTAAGTTAATCTAGTCCCATGGCCCATTTCCCTCCAAACACTTCCATATCCTTTCTGTAATGTGGCGACCAGAATTATTTCTAATTTGTGTATGTGTTTAATGTTACTGATTCTTCTCACATTTAGCAATTAATAAACTCACTGTAATGGGTTAAGTGAATAATCAAAAGGGAACCAGTTCATCTCTCCTCACTTGGAAGCCTAAGGGTTTATGGTATCCTGTCTGCAGTTTGGCTGCAGGTCCTCTTGCAGTAGATGCCACAGATCTCCAAACAGATGAATTGCTGTGGAATCAATTTCCCGGATATGCCCAGGAGTTTAATCTGGAAAAGCGTGAAGTGATGCATTCAGGCAGGTCTAACAAGGTAAGGGACTACATAATAAATGATAGTACCCCAAGTAGGACAAGATCAGTGGGACCTTGGTATGTATGTACATAGCTCCTTGAAGGATAGGTTAAGAAGACATGTGGGATACTTGCTTTTATTAATCAAGGTATCATATACAAGAGCCAGGAGCTTAATTTGGAGCTGTATACAGTATTAGTTAGGCCACAGCTGGAGCACTGTGTGTAATCCCGATCACTACACTATAGGAATTGCAATAGAAAAGGGTACAGAGGAAATTCACCAGGGTATTGCCTAGGCTGGAACGATTCAGCTATGAAGGTTAGGGTTGTTTACCTTAGAGGCTGTGGGGGGAAGAGCTGATTGAAGTGTACACGTATGAGAGGGCAATTACCAGAAGGCTTAGATTTAAGGTAAAGTTCAGGAGGTTTAGACAGGACTTAGCAGATTTTTGTTCACCCAGAAGGAAGTGGGTATGTGGAAGTGACTGCCTCAAAAGGGTGGTAAGAGGCAGAAACTGTCACAATGTTTAAAAATATTTAGTTGAACACTTGAAATACTATAGTATACAGTGTACTGGGAAATGGGATTAGAGTAGATAGGTGCTTGATGACCAGTATGGACACAATGGGCTGAAGGGCATTTTTCCATGCAGTAGAACTCCATGACCGTTCAGACCTAGTACACCACAGGAAACTGTTAACACCTGCACATTGTTAATCAAGAGTATTAAAAGGTATTGAGGCACCTTAGAGTGAAATATGTTGTTTGGAGAACTTTACACCTATTGCACTCTCTTAATTGCAATTTGAAATGCTTTGCCCTTGGGCTGTGTTCCTGATACGGAATGCATTTTGTAAATTTTAAGCTTTTTATAATAAGTTGAGTGGGATATCTTGAATCTTACAATGTAGAAACAGGCCATTCGGCTCATTGAGTCCATACCACCCCTCTGGAGAGCATCCCACCTACCCTATTCCCATAACCCTGCACTTCCCACAGCCAATCTATCTAGCCTGCACACCTCTCAACACTATAAGGCAATTCAGCATGGCCAATCCACCTAACCTGCACATCTTGGGACTGTGGAAGGAAACTGGAGCACCCGGACGAAACCCACGCAGACACAGGGAGAATGTCCATGTGGAGTCAGCACGTCACCCGAGGGTGGAATTGAACCCGGGTCCTTGGTGCTGTGAAGCAGCAGTGCTAACCACTGAGCCATTGTGCCACCCAAAATTTAAATTCCGCCGACTACTGCGGTAGGATTTGAACCCATGTTCCTAGAGCATTAGTTTTCTTAATTTTATTGCAAATGCTGTAATGTCCATGTCAAAATGTTTTTGTTCATATATTTAAATACATTTTGGCAAAATGAAATTGCCAAGGAATGCACCTGGTGGAACAGTGGCTAGGACAAGCTGTCACGGTGATATCTGGGCTCCTTGCCATACCGCCTGTGATCTTTCTCTGGACCCGCCTATAATTGTACTTCCCATATCTTGTTGGAAGTGAAGTGGTAATATATCTTTAAGATAAAAGCAAAATACTGCCAGTGCTGGAAATCTGAAATAAAAACAAAGTGCCAGAGGAACTCAGCAATTTGTGCAGTATCTGTGGAGGGAGAAACAGAATTAACGTTTTGTGTAATTATGACTTCTCGGAAAGTCTGACTTAACTCAAAGAAGCTGTTTCCTTTTGTGTTGGGGCTGCCAGAATTGCTAAATTTCTCTAGCATTTTCTGTTTTTAGTCACTAAAGTATCTTTAATACCAGGTCTTCCCTTCCTGACTGCCTAACCTTTCTGAACTTCAATAGCCGCTGCAAGTCACAACTTTTCACAAATAAAGTTCTAAATCATAATTCTTTCATTTGTATGCTCTTTCACTATAATAACACAGATCTTATGTATTTTGTAAACAAAAAAGAATGGCATTGGGGGACCTGGTCTGCCTTAACATGGAGTGCAAAACATGCTGGAATCTTGGGATTTCCCAGTTTTCTGACTCCTCCTCACCCAGTACAAACCAGTGGAACAAAATATCATGTTAAAAAAAAAGTCCTGGAGGTGGCATGGTGGCTCAGTGGTTAGGCACTGTTCCCTCACAGCGCCAGGGACCCGGGCTCAATTCCAATCTCAGGCGACTGTCTGTGTGGAGTTTGCACATTCGCCCCATGTCTGCATGGGTTTCCTCTGAGTGCTCCAGTTTCCTCCCACAATCCAAAGATGTGCAGGTTCGGTGGATTGGCCATACTAAGTTATCCATAGTGTCCAGGGATGTGTAGGTTAAACGGATTAGCAATGCGAAATACAGGGATAGGTAGGGGACTGGGTCTGGGTGACATGCTGTTCAGAAGGTTGGTGTGGACTTGATGGGCCAAATGGCCTGCTTCCACACTGCAGGGATTCTATGAATTGGTAGGCATTTTCCACTTGCACAGTCTGAGAGTATTTAGTGACTATAGGAACTAACCTAGAAATACTGCTGGTCACGGTCACTGATGATGGCAGATGTCCATCGCTGCCTGAACCCTCTATCACATATTGTGGCTTCTGTACATTCTCTGACAGCAGGTTGACAGACCAGCTGGCATTTGGCGAATTGTAACACACATTGTCCAACTGACACTCTGTTGCCTGTAAGTTATCAGCCTTCATGGTAACTGGGTGTCAAAGGCATTTTGTCCAATTCATAATACTTCCATCTATTCCAAATGGAGACACTGAAGTCACTAATATGGTATCCACCTTAAAGGGGGAGAAAACATAAATTACTTGTTTTGTGTATATAAAGCCAAGCCTGTATAGGCACATTCTATTCAATAAAAATATAACATTGGCAATCACTTACACTTACGTAGCTCTTCCTTCCAGCTCTAAAATGACCCAAGCCTTCACAGACATGAAAAATTTGCTACTGTACCAAAGATAGACATAAAGGCAGATAGGCAAACCTTGGTTGAAGAGATACATTATAAGGGCCTTCTTAAACGATGTAAGAGATGTGGAGAGAGATGGAAAGATTTAGGTGAGAATTTCAGAGTTAGACTTTAGTCAGCTGAAGAAACGGCTGTAAACAATGCAGGTGAAGGATGTGGGGGATGCATGAGAGGCTAAAACTGGAAGTGCACAGAGATCTCAAAAAAATTAAGAGCAGAGGAGGTTACGAAGATTGGAGGGATGAAGCCATAGACAGACCAGAGGCTATGATGATGAGAAGTTTTAAATCAAAGAGCTGATGGATGGGAGGGAAATGGGGAAAAGCGAACAAGAGTTGGAGCTGGTTAGGATATGAGCAGGAGAGATTAGGGTGAGTTTATGTTGATGCAGCATAAATGAGAGGCAGACCAGGATGACAATGGAACAGGACAGCCAAAAAAATTGCAAAAATATGGAAGAAAGCTTCAGTAGCTACAGACAGAGGCAGAAACAACAGGGTGGGTGATGTCTTGAAAGTGGACAGTGTTGGTGATGGAGATGGCTTAGAGTTGGATGCTCAGTTCAGGGTCAACTCTGATCATCCTGGTTTAACTAAGGCAGCATGTAGGCTAAAGAGAATGGTTTTGACTTTGTCAATGATTAACTGATTTTTTTTTTAAATTCATTCACAGGGTGTGGGCATTGCTGGCTAGGCTAGCACTTATTGCCTATTCCGAATTGCCCAGAGGGGAGTGAGTCAACCACATTGTTATAGGTCTGGAGTCACATACCGGCCAGACCAGGTAAGGATGGCTGTTTTCTTCCCTTTTCCAACAATCAACATTAGATTTTTAATTGCAGGTCTTTTTTTATTGAATTCAAATTCTACCATCTGTCATGGCAGGGTTTGAACTCAGGGACCCAGAACATTACTGGGTCTATGGATTAACAGTCTAGCAATAATACCACCAGGCCATTGTCACCCCTTATTTCAGCTCACTCATGACTTGATATCATACAGGCAGCGTACCAGGATTGAAAGTGGTGATTATGAGGCAGAGCTAGGTGTCTTTAGTATATGTAAATTGAAGTGATTTTTCCAACATATGACTGAGGAGCTACATACAGATTATACATAGGAAACATCAGGGATACATCATTAGGAGATTCCAGAAACAGCGCTGACGGTCACTCAAGAAGAGAGAATAGGAATCTGTATTATATCAGAAAGTATTATGAGCACAAAAGGCAAATTGTGTGGGCAGCATTTTAATGGGAATGGGGTTGAGATAAAGCAATATAAAACAAGCAATATTTAGTTTGGCAATCTTTGATATTTGCAAATTGATTGAAGAGTTCAGCATTAGGGTGCATCCTCTTAATTTTGTGGATTGTGGAATGAATTGCACACCTTCAGCTTCACTTACCATTACCTTTGTGTGAAAATATATTGTGGATAAATCATGGATAGTTTGCCAGATCAACAAGGAAGATGGCAAGAGCTACCTGATCTCATCCAGTGTCAATATGCAATAGCTGGCAACTCTGCATTCTACTGAACACAATGCAGTAACCCCCAACTCAGTCTTAGCATGTTTGAGCTCAGCTGTATTACCTTCACGAATTTGCTATCATTCACTGTTAAGACTCACTTGGGCAATTGCACGGGGTTCTCAAGATACAATATGAGATGATATTAGGGAAGACAAATACACAGAGAATTCTGAAAATTAAACCATAATGAACCAGCTTGAAATCGCTTGATTGGCACCACAACTACCGTAATCCATCTCTCCTCAGTAGTGGCAGTGTGGACGATCTGAAAGATGCACTGCAGAAACTGACTAAGACTCCTTAGACAGCACCTTCCAAACCCATGACTACTACTGTCTAGACAGGCAGCAGATAAATGGGAACACCACCACCTGCAAACTCCCCTTCAAGCCGCTCACCACCCCAATTCAGAAATACGTTACTGTTCCTTCACCATCACTGAGTAAAAATCCTGGAACTCCCTTCCTAATGGCATTGCAGTTTAAGAAGGCAGCTCACCACTACCTTCTCAAAGGCAACTAGGTATGGGCAATACATGCTGACCCAGCCAGCAATGCCCACGTCCCACAAATGAATAACAAAGTCCAACTGTTCACTTTATAGCTTAATAACAAACCTCCAAATAGAGTGATAGAGTTATACAGCACGGAAGCAGACCCTTCGGTCCAACTAGTCCATGCCAACCATAACCCCAAACTAAACTAGTCCCACCTGCCTGCTCATGACCCATATCAGCAACAGCTACCAGCTTATGGTGTACACTAATATATCAAAGTTTATCATCCTTTACCAACATTAGTCCACTTTTTGGTCCTGGGCGTTGAGTCAGATGAGATGGGTCAGTTATTTGTGGTCTGTGTTTTTCCCAAACTTGTTGATACAGTTGTGCTGGTGAGTAGGGCTGTTGTTTGATGTTCTTGTGGACAAAGCCGTTAAGGACACTGCAATATGCCCCTGTCTCTAGTCGGTGGCTGGAGTGAGGGGCCATTTTTCTTACCTGTGAGGGAGCTCCTGTTTCTGGATGCATGCTAGCTCATATCTCCAACACCCCGACCCTGATCTTCAACCACTCCCTCAATCATCAGTGTGACTAATCTGTTACAATGTCGCAGTCTTCACTGGCTAGTCCTGATTCTCTTTGGCTTCTTGATCAAGGAAATATTGAATTATCCGGAATACAATATTTTGAATTAAAATGGAACAACATCTTTGAAAGAAATGTATTCAGAAAATCTTTACTGTACATGGTGACAGAACAAAGGATTATCTAATAACAATTATGATATTGCGATCTCATCACCTCTTCGATATTGTTACTGACTGATCCTTGGATACTGTGGCTTTTTTTCTGTGCTGGTGAAAACAATCTTTTTCCTCCCAAGTAATGTTTTGGATAGCAAAGTGACTATAAATCTATTTTTCCTTAAGCAAATCTAAAAGTGAAGTACAATCAATGCCACAAATGTAAAACTTGACATAATATTTCACTTGTTTGAGTACTACCTTCCAGCTGGAAATGTGAACAGTGTCTCACCTTTTGATAACCAGTACAGCTCCGACATTAATCACACAGCTCCATATCTGCCAAAGAGCTCCCTATCAGTTCCAACAGTGCTTCAGGGCTTGAGCTCCTCATTTCCGAGATTACGATAACTGCTCCTTCCCATCAAAGAGTCTCTAGACAGCACTGGAGTCAGAGCTATTCCAACTTTCCTTGCAACCAATTACTTGTCAAAATAAATAATAAAATACAAAAACAGAGAAGAATTTGGGGCTTGGATAAGGGACAGCCCTACTGTTCTGCCAGAAAAACTTTGAGGCTTTGTTCTAAATCTTATGCTGCTTGTACAGTCAAAGTTGGAACTTCAGTTGGGAGATGGACATCAGGACACTGTGGAACTCATGATACAGCGATGTGCATTGTAATTGCCCAGGAAGCCAATAGGCTTATATCTGTTGCCTGGGACCCACCGAAAATCTCTTTGACATTGAGCTCAAAGCTGTGATTTAAGCCTGACAACTAGGACTCAATTGTATACTCACCAAGGAAACAGTACACTGGTTAATAATTAGTGTAAGTCAGTGATTAACTAAAATAATCGAACTGAGCACCATAGCAGATCACTGCAATCACACAACCTACCCACCACCCCTAGAAACCAAGCCTGATTCTAATCTTCCATCACCACCAAGCTCTGGGGCAGGACTTGAACCCAGCGAGTCTCCTGGTTCAGAGACAGAGGAGCTAGCTACTGTGCCAAACTTTCAAGATTATAATAGCTGGCCCCAAATGGAGCTAGAAGGAATTACATTTATGAATTATTTAAATATCTGGTACGGACTAATAATGCATTACTGTACACCATCTTCAAAATGCTGACATTTCTAAGCATAAAACTTTCCAACAAAAGCTTTACCTGTGGCAGCAAAAAGTGCTGACAAAGGATTTCTTATATTGGAATTGGTTCCTGTATTTCAAGGCATTATTTCAAAGAACAGCAGGGGCATTCTTACCAGGCCATTACTCTTCCTTCTTCCAACATTAGTTAAACAGCATACAGACAATGTCCAAGTTCTGATGTCAGGAACCCTCCACAAATATCTTTGATTCGGAGCTCACAGCAGAGACTTGGGTGGGATATGCAGGACACATTGTTTGAGAGATTTTGTTGTATGCAAATTTACTTTATTTTTACAGTGACTACACTTCAAATAAAAGTGCATTTGAACATTCCAAGGTTGTGAAAGCTGCCAAAATACAAACCTTTCTTTCCTGCAAAACAGAATCATGGCACCAGTGAAAGCCGTGATCAGCAAAGTGCACTCTCGCTATACGCTTTGTTTCTGCTTCGAAGCAGGTTCCACATATCTTACTGAATCACAGAATGATACAGCACAGAAAGAGGTTATTTCCTGCTTTGATTCCATTGCTCCCCAAATGTTTCTTTCCTTCAACTATTTATCCAATTCCCTTCAGAAAATTATTATTGTATCAGCTTCTACTATCTGCTTAAGGTAACGTAAGCCAGACTTGGAAACAGTCGCGTGTTATCTCTAGTTCCTTTGCCAATTCTCTTAAATCCCTTTTCTGCCACTGGTTTTGAATACCATTTTAACCCCCCTCCTTTATCTTCTCTGCGCCAAGAACAGCTTCATCACTTTCGTCATACAACTACTTCCATGCTTGATAAACGTACTGACAATGGAATTCTGTGCTGACTAAACGTCATTCCTTAAACTTGATTGATTAGTATGGACCTGAGACATTAACAGAAAGGGGCAACAGACTTTTACCCAGCTCAAGAAACCTGATATTACACATAAAGCAATGAAAATTTGTCAGTGGTCTATATTGTACAATTGCGCTATATAAAGTCTAGTTATATACAAATTGCATGTAATGTGGCTGCAAATATTTAATCTAGGGTATGCTTTTACTATCAGTACAACAATATCATTAACATCAGAATCCATTCTTTGATTCACACTGACAAATACTGTTTGTTAAATGGCATCAATTTACCACTCTTCCCTTTGGCAAAATTTCTTTTCTTAAATAAATTTTGATAATTTGCAGGAAAAAATAATTGCAGTTGCATATTTCATATGGCACATTATCTGGTAGGATCCAAAACAATTATTACATTATTCTTCTATTTATTGTAAATAAAATTGTTTTTAGTTGCAGTATGTAATTGTTACCTTTATTCCTCTGTAACTATATAAATGACCAACATTTTCCCACAAATTATCAAAGGAGATAATCAAATTATCTCAGAATATACTACTTGAAACTAACCACTAACACACATACAAACAATAAAAATACATCTGAATATCTAACATCCAGTTCAGAGATTAAACGATTTTATATTAAAATATATTGTTAAAATGCAAGTAATTTTTAAATACAGCTTATAAGTTAACATGAATGTGTGCCTAATTATGAATGTATGCACGGGTATATGACTGGATGCAATTGTAAGTATTGTATATGGATGCCTAATGGAGTGTCATACAGATCAGTGCTGGGCTCACAATTACTTAAGAATATATATTAATGTCTTGGATGAATGAAGTAAATGTACTATAGCTAGGTTTGTGGATTACAAAAATAAATGGAAAGGCAAGTGGTGAGGATGACACAAAAGGGTCGGCAGAGGGATACAGACAGGTTAAGTGAGCGAGTAAAAACTTGGTAGATGGAATATAATGTGGGAAAATATAGCAGGAAGAATAGAGGAGGTGATTATTTAAACAAGAAAAGATTGCAGAAAATTGCAGCACAGAGCGATTTGAACGTCCCCATGCATGAAATCACAAAAAGCCAATGCAGTGATTGTAATGAGGTCAGCAAGGTGGATCTCACAGAACGAGCTTCCCGACTAGGGCTGTTAACCTGGTCCAATCAGGGAGCCCTGGCTGACACATATAAACAGGAGTGTCAGATGTTCTGCTCACTCAGAATTGGCTCTGAGGGAACTGGATCAGTGTCAAGTACTGTTCAAGCGTAAATAAAGGGTGACTTGATGATGGGATACCGGCCTATGTGGAGTTATTTCAGCTAACATCTTAGCTCAGCAGGTAATAGGGAAAGCAAATGGAATATTGACCATTATTTCAAAGGAAAGGGAGAATACAAAGAGAAGTCTCACTAAAACAATACATGGCACTAATCAGACCACACCTGGAATACTGGGATCAATTTTGGTCCCCTATGCATGGAAAGATATACTGGCATTGGAGACAGTCCAGAGAAAGTTCACAAAGGTTGATCCTGGATATGGAGGGATTTTCTTATGAGGAGGTTGAATAGGTTGGGCTTGTACTCATAGGAGATTAGAAGAATGAGGGACAACTTAATTGAAACATACAAGATTCTTTGAAGATGTGACAGAGTAGATGCAGAAACATTGTTTGTTTGTGTCCCCTTGTGGGATAGTCTAGGCCCAGAGGACAATCTCAAAGTAAGGGGTTGCCCATTTAAGACCGAGATGAAGAAGAATTTCTTCTTTTAGAGAGTAGTGAATTTGTGGAATTCTTTAGCACAGAGGGCTTTAGAGGCTGTGTTGTGAAGTATATGCAAGGATGAAGTAGACAGATTTTTAATGAGTAAGGAATCAAGGGTTGGGGAAAGGCAGGAAGTGGAGTCATGGATTATCGGACCAGTCATGATCTCATTGAATGGCAGAACAGACTTGATAGGCTCAATGGCCTATTTCTTATAGCAGGAGTCAGTCAGCCAAACCCTTAACACAACTCAGTCATTCAATTAAATTAGATTACTGCTGATCTTTTACATCAATTCCACTTTCTTACTCTGTCCCACATTCCTGGAGTTCCGTAGTGCTATGAATTATGATGAATTAACTACTGGGCCTCGATCCTGGCCCTGCTCTTGCACAGTTTAGGAGATATAAAATTATGATGTCCCTAGTTTGAGGTGGACAATCCACCACGGTTCCCGAGATCATAGAATCCCTACAGTGCAGGTAGAGGCCATTTGGCCCATTGAGTCTGCCTCAATTCTCCAAAGAGCATCTCACCACCCCCACGTTTACCATGGCTAATCCACCTAACCTGCACATCTTCGGACTGTAGGAGAAAACTACAGCACCCAGCAGAAACCCCCATAGACACTGTGAGAACATGTAAACTCCACCCAGTCACCCATGGTTGAAATTAAACCCTGTCGTTGGCATTGTGAGGTAACAGTGCTAACCAGCATGCCACCATGTTGCCCATGCAGCAATCCTTCTTGATCTGTAGATTTTAACCTATAAATCCATCTGAAGGAAATTATATTGTTTTAGGAATTAACATGGTTCAGTTGTGTTTACCGTATTGGACGACTTATCTGGAAGTTTGGATTAATATCTAGAAAGGTCAAGGTTAGATTCAGCACTTTTCACATCCACAAAGTAATGGAAGGTGCTGTCGATGGTGTTATCAGTCAGCACCTAATTCATCAATAGCTTGCTCACAATGTTTGGTGCAGCTTCTACCAGGGTCACTTGGCTCTTGGCCTCATTACAGCCTTGCTCCAAAGATAGAGAAAATGTGTTTAATGTCAAACTACCCTTGATATCAGGGTAGCATTTGACAAGAACAGGAATTGGTAGCATAATAGAGTTCCCCATAAAGGGTTAATTGTACTAGTTTACAAGAAGAAAGTGACATACACTCATATGACTGGATAGTCTAAGAGAAAGTTACACAGAGGAAAACTAGCATGAGAGTGTTCTTATAAATATAAGTATTTTATAATAAGGTTAGAGTATCTAATAGCTAGCTTTGAGTTATTGAACTTACTCCAACCCAACAATTTGTAACTAAATGGCAGAGCAGGTTCGAGGAACTATGTAACCTCCTGCTCCTAACTCGTAGGTTTGTTCACAATGTATGTCAACTCACTTCTCAAGACAAGCAATGAATGCCTTGTCAGCAATGCCCAGAATGTTTTTAGATAAAATTATTTATCTTGACCTAGTAAAAACTAGCTAAATTAGAATATCAGAGTCTGATTTTTCCTTCTCAGTATTCCACATGTAGCTTTATTTCTGCGTGGTACATCATTCAGCCCTACTCATACTGAGACTCAATATAGGAATATTAAGATTTACATTCAAGGTCAGTGCTCATTATAGATATGGATTGAGTTGATGGAACAGCTTGCTGGATCTATGAAATCTTCACCAAAGGCTTCTGTACAGTGACCAGGTGGCTATGAAATTCACCTAGATTTGTCAAAATTCCATATTTGCACCACTAAACAGAATCGATTTTTTAAATGAAAAAAATAACATCGATTGTACTGAGTAGGTACAATCCAACTCACCCTGTTAAACAATTTACAAAACACACTATAAAAGTTAAATCAGAGTTAATAGATGATCAAACAGGCCCAAATTGTTGGGAAAAGAATGACATTAAATGGTTAAACACTTCATTCATGGCACACCATTGCAATAATTAATAAGTTAAAAGCAGTGACATGATTAATACCTCTGGAGCTCTTAACGCGGTTGAACAATATAGCAGGACTTGTTTTTCACAATACGTTTCAAAAATATGAATGAATCCAGCGAAAAATACATTTTTCTTTCCAAATAAAACCTGAAATGGCTACGTCCTACACGTAGCAATAAAACCATCAAACTCAAGTGAAAACACACTGACTCATTCTGGCGAAAATTCCACTTAAAATGTTAAAAAGTCCACGCGATTGAATATTGTAATTGCGAGATTCGTTCTTAAAAAGTCACTTTTTTTAAAAAACAAGCAGGAGTTAACTTTACCTGACCTGGAGAAACTGGTTTATAATCAGTTCACTGCAGCTTTTCATCCAGTGCCTGGTAACATCAGTGGACTGCCAGGCCAGTTTCCAATCGGATGATGAGCACTGAAATGGAAGCAAAACAAAAATACAACCTTTTCTGTTACTATCTCCCGCTCGCAACAATTCACGCTCATTCCACGTTCCAGCAAAACTGTTCCCACAACTCTTCCACAGCTCTCTCGCATACTTACAGCCCGATTCCAAGCTGATCGCTCAACCAATACTGGTTAATAATTCACAGCAAAGGAACAGGCATCAGGAAACCAATCACAGAACTCAAAAGGTAAATTCACATTTATATATACACATATATCTCCACGGAGAAATATTTCAAATTAGAGGATTGTAACTGTGCCACAGATATCCAATAATGAATACTGCACAAAGGCCCAGTCATCATAAAAACTAGGTCAGGATAATCCACCAGTTGAACCCACCCCTCTTGACGTGTAGTGATAGCTGCACAGTGCCTGTTCTATGTACCTGATCAGAGTGAGTGCGGAGCTGGAGGAGGTTTTTGCTATACTCTCTCAGGTTGACGTTACTATCCTTGTAATCCTGGGGTTTCTCGCCAGCCCCTAAGGGAGATGATGGCCTAGTGATATTATCACTGCACTGTTAAGCCAGCGAGCTAATGTTCTGGGGACAAAAACAGAAGTTGCTGGAAAAGCTCAGCAGGTCTGGCAGCATCTACGAAGAGAAAATCAGAGTTAACGTTTCAGACCCGGTGACCCTTCCTCAGTTCTTTCGGTTTTTATTTAATGTTCTGGGAACCCAGGTTCAAATCCTTTAAGGCAGATGGTGGAATTTGAATTCGATAAATGTCTGGAATTAAGAGTCTAATGATGACCATGAATAAATTGTCAGGAAAAATGCATCTGCCCTTTCGGGAAGGAAATTGCCATCCTTACTTGGTCTGGCCTACATGTGACTCCAGACCCCACAGTAATATGGTTGACTCTTAACTGCCCTCTGGGCAATTAGGGATGGGCAATAAATAGGGATGGGCAGTAAATAGGGATGGCCTAGCGAGCGATGCCCTCATCCCATGAATGAATAAAAAAATACACATTAATACTTAGCATCAGGGGCAGTGCATTCATAATGTAGTTTTGATGGAGTGCTGGTGTAAAGACAGTCCAGTTGTGCACTGACTCTCACAGCAACAAAAAGCAACTTCATTTACATAGCCCCTGTGATGGAAGTAAAGTCACCCAAAGACCCTTTACAGGAATGTTATGAAATCATATTAAAATATGTGATAGTACTATGGCTTTAAGAAGTGTATTTTGTCCTGGGTTTTTTTTGAAGAGAGGTTTTAAAGCAGAGGTATAGAGCAGTCTACCAGAGCCACTAGTGTAACTAGTTTGTGAGGCCTTTTTTTCAAGTTGGAACAATAGAAGCAGCCTGAATGGATGTGGTCAAACTCCCCCAGAACCAGGATTTTTTTTTAGTTACAGCAGTAGCAGTTGTTGCTGGGATCTCAGCAGGGTTGGAAGCTGCTGTATTCTCTCTGAGAGTTCTCTTGATGTTTTTCCTTCTGGGCTGCTGGAGTTGTATGTAAGACATTCTGTTTTCTGAATTTGCTTTTTGCCAAGGGTGTGTTTATGGGATGTTACTATATCGGAAGAGTTACTGTTTAATAGTTAAACAATCTATTATTCTGTGAAATTTCCCAATAGAGTTACAGTTAAGCCAATTCTTTTCTTTATTCTTTCTTTTCTTGTATTTTAACTACAGTGTATGAATAAAGTGTGTTTTGATTAAGGTCGAGTAGTTCGACCAATCAAATTGCATCTGGAACGCAACACCTTACATTTTACTTTAAAATAAGAAAAAGTTAGGGTCTGCGCTATCTTCTGAATATTTTTGAGGCAGTTTGGTCTGGTCTATAACAAATAGAAGATCACCAGCATGGAAAGTGATATAGGGAAACATTGAGGTTGGGCACAGAATTCCAGAAGGTGGTGAGGCCTTTGGAACCCTCTTGCTGTAAAAGAAGCGGAGTTCTTGATTGTTTTTTTAAGGCAGAGGTAGATTCTTGGTAAGCAAAGCAGGTGAAAGCTTTTCAGAGATAGATGGGAATGTGGATTTGAGATTACAGTCAGATCAGGCATGATAGTAAGAATAGCTGAGCAGAGTTTGAAGGGCTGAATGGCCTACTCCTAATTCATATGTATGTAATGTAGGGTATAGTGATTATTAACAGGTCAGCCAGCTGAACATCATGGAATTTGAGTTTCCTGTTTGGGGCTGTTAATCTGGTCCAATCAGGGTGCCCTGCCTGACATAAATAGGTTGAGTGTCAGAGGTACTGACACTCTGGTATTATAGTCTGTATGAGGCAGCACTATAGTCAAGGACTATTCATGTGTAAATAAAGGGTGACTTGGTGAGGGATACCGACCCTGTGGAGTTATTTCATAGGGTTTCAACTGCAAAAGACAGTGTGGTTCAATAACGTCCTTGAGAGAAGGAAATCTGCCGTCCTTACCTGGCCTGGCTTACACTTGACTCCATACCCACAATGGGGATGTCTGAAATAGTCATTCAGGTATCAAAAGTTGCAACAAAGTTGAATAAAGATAAACTGGAGGGACCACCCACATTGGCATAGACACATACACCTGACTTAAAAATTTATTATCATCACATCAACGTTTGTGGGTCAAAATCCTGGAACACTCAACCAAAAAAAAGTGAACTTAAAAAAAAAGACAGGCGTGGTGTGATTCAAATCAGGACTGTATAGAGGCCATAATTGCTGATTTCGGAGGGCTGCAGCAGGGTACAGAGTTAGGAAAGGATCAAATTGATATATAGATTAGGTTGATTTGGAAACAAGGGTAGTTCTGGACTGACAATACAACAATGTCAGCCAGAACAGGAGTAGTGGGTGATTTGGATCTGATGTGGATTAAAATGTAGGCAGCAGGGTACATGAGCTCAAGTGTACAGAGGATAGAAGGTGGGACACCAGCCAGGAATACACTAGAATTGTGTCTAATACCCAAAGGACATAGAGTCGTTCAGTCATATAGCCTGGAAACAGACCCTTCAATCCGACTAGTGCACGCTGACCATATTTCAAAACTAAACTAGTCCCACCTGCCTGCATTTGGCCCATATCCCTCCAAACCTTTCTTATTCTTGTACTTATCCAAATGTCTTTTAAATGTTATAACTGTACCAGCATCTAACCTGTCCACTTAGCTCTGCCGACTCTTGTCATCTTCACCACTTGCCTTTCCACCTACTTTTGTGTCATCCACAGACTGGTAATAGTATATTAATTTTCCTCACCCAAGTTATGAATTGATATGGTAAATAACTGACCCCAGCATTGATCCCTGTGGGACTGATCCACTATTTACAGATATGGTTCGGGGTTTCAGCAACATATCAGCTGAAGCCAGGTAAACAGGCCTTTGTTTTGAGGTGGAAGAAGGAAGCATTGGCTGACACAGTGGAACAAGTGTTCAGAAAATCAGTTCAGGGTTAAGTATAAAGCCAAGGCTGTGAGCAAACCAATAGCATTTCCACTAGGATGGTGAGTTCAATCCTGTCAAAGACAGTCTGCAGGTTGAGAAGGAGCAGGAGGATCATTCACCACGGTCACCGTGACACAGGGTGTCATTTGTGACTTTGATGTATACTGTTTCATTGCAGCGTCAGGGTAGCAACCTGAATGGAGTGGTTCAATCATGGCATTGTGTAAAACATGGGCATGCATCCAGATCAGCTTCTGAGACAGAACATATTTGTACGGCACCTTTCACATTCTGACCATATTCTAAAACTGTTTCACAGCTGATTGTCTTTTTAAGCTTTGTTTTAATGGTATATGGTGCCAGTGGCAAGGCCAAGCATTTGATGCCCATCTCTAATCACTTTGAAATGAGTAGTTCGCCAGGCCATTTCGGAAGGCAGTCAAAAATCAACCACGTTACACTGTGTCTGGAGTCACATGTAGGGCAGACCAGGTCCTCCCCTAAAGGACAGGAGGTAACTAGAAAAGTTTTTATAACAATCAATGATAGTATCATGTCACCATGCCTGAGACAGGCTTCTAAATTCCACAAGTTGCTGTTGTAGGATTTGAACATACATTGCTAGAACTTTGTAGAAACCGAAAGAACTGTGGATGCTGTAAATCAGGAACAAAAACTGAAGTTGCTGGAAAAGCTCAGCAGGTCTGGCAGCATCTGTGAAGAAAAAAAATATCAAAGTTAACGTTTCGAGTTCAATGATCCTTCCTCAGAACTGATGGTAGCTGGGAAAATGTCGGTTTATATGCAGAAAATAGGGAAGGGGATGGAGTAGGGAGTAAACGACAGGATAGAGCCTACAGAGAGAGAAGAACAGTTGGACAGACAAAGGAGTTGATAACGATCTGGCTAGGAGGATGAATAGTTATTAATGAGGACTGTTAGTGACTAACAATAGGTAGTGTGTAATGGCAGGCTTTGTGATAACAAGGCCTGGTGTGTGGGGTAGGGGGCTAGGACATGGGAGAGATTAAGCCCTAAAATTATTGAACTCGATATTGAGTGTGGAGGGCTGTAGGGTCCCCAAGCGGAAAATGAGGTGTTGTTCTTCCAGCTTGTGTTGAGCTTCGCTGGAACATTGCAGCAGGCCAGAGACAGAGGTGTTGGTCCGAGAACAGGGTGGTCTGTTAAAGTGGCAGGCAACTGGAAACTCGGGGTCTTTTTTGCGAGCAGAATGGAGATGTTCTGCGAAGCGGTCACCCAGCCTACGCTTCGTTTCCCCAATGAAGAGGAAACCACATTGTTTTTGTCACGAGAATTTTGGCCTAGGAGCCTGAAATACTCATCTTGTGATAGTGCTACTACATCTTTCCCCAATTATTTTTGAAGTTATTTAGACAATGGCAGAAGCCCAGTTTATATTGAGCAAGATGACGCAAATAGGACCAAAATAACCATTGTTTTTGGCAGTATCAATCAAGGGAATAATATGAGCCAGGCATCAGCAGACCTCATCTGCCCTTCTTCACAGAGTGTCGTGGGATTTTTCCATCATTTGTTTCAGTGTATGAGACCGCCATTATCCATGCTGTCTGAAGAGTGGAACCTCCAACTGTGCAGCATTCCCTCAGTTTGGCACCAAAGTTTCACCTTAGCTTCATCCTGACGAGGTTTGAATCCACGAGTATCTGACTCAGAACTGAGCGTTACCTGCTGACAGAAGCTGTCATGTAACTGAAAGCGAATTGCCCCTTGAATATTCCATAGCTCCCAAAGTAAAAACAGTAAGTACATCATAATTTGACAAAGTGGTCATT